GACATTTAAAAAATAGTTATGTAACTAAAATATGATAACGTTATCAAGTACATATTTTAAAGATTAATAATGCTGCTCCAAAATGTATCTTTTTATATTCAAGTAAACATGCATCACTATTAAAAATAATTGATACTAATTCACGAAATTTTGGAAGATAAGCAAAACTTTGGAAAGAAATCAAATACCAATGTGCTCTTAAATGTTTAGTCTTGTGGATAGCACTGTTTTTCTCGGTATTACTATTGGGCTCATGCGACTAACATTGAAGCCATATTTGTTTTGTAAAATAGAGCTGTCGTACGAACAATTAATATCATAAATTGTAAAGAGTCCCTTAGAGAAAATTTTTATGAAATAACCCGCATTATAATTATGAAAATGTAATGTATGAGGTGGTACATCATAAATAGTTCATAATATATAATAGGAATAAATGTGTTCATACTTTAAACCTTAGGAATAAACATAGCTTTTAATACCAGTTAATAGACTCCATTGAACCAGTAATTCTTTAATGGGGCAATGTCTATACGCTTTTACAACAAAATCCCAGAAAATGTACAAAATTTTTCATTTAACAAGTATAAATGTTTTATTAAAGGAAAAATGTACAAAAAGTGATTTATATTATCAAAGAACACATCAATAAAAATAACCTCTGGGAATGAGGTGATCGCCACCATGCTTGTTCTATTAAAATTTATTTAAAAAAGACAAACAAAATTATTGTAAAATGAAATGTGTTTTAAAAAGAGTCGAACCAGTTGTAAATAAAACACGACAATCAATAAGTTTTATATAATAATCTATACTGAATAAAAATTATACTATGTATTCTATTCTCTGTAATATATCAACTAAAGACAGAGTAAGTTCAATTTGCGTAGATTGGACTATAATAATAATAATAAAAAGCTGAAGGCTATGCCAGTCACCTCAGTCCCCCGTGATCATAGGTGCTATAAAGCACCTGAAACGTTGGGAATTAAAAGTTAAAGAAATTAAAAAGCAATAAAATTGGTAAAAGTAGTCGTTAAAAACTGTATTTGTGAAAATAAAAACTTTTACATCATAAAAATCCCGACTTTTTTAAACCAATTCCTTAACAAATTTCATTATTTTAATTGCATGTTATCATTTCCATATGCTTTTATATGTATGGGTGCCCACCCATGGCCGAAGTGTCTATGAACAGTGGGCATTCCCCTTTGCGGTGCCTGAAAAAGACGTCTAAGTTGTAAGCACATTTTTAATTTAAGACCAATTATATATACTTGGATTGCAAATAAATGATTTGATTTGATTTGATCCTTGAGTGCCTTTTACATGCAATCACACATATCAGAAAACATCCCTTGACTCAGGCCAATATTCAACTCAGTAGAAACAAGAATTTGTGCGACCACTTCCTAAAATACCTAATCCCTTATTACCTGCCCATTTTCGACCAGTTTCAGTATTGCATACCTATCTAAGGTTCTGGGAGCCTGTGTTCCCAACCAAATCTCTAGGTTCATAACCAAACACAATCTGCTGAATAAATATCACTCAGGCTTACCTGCAGGTGCGACCACTGCCTTGATAAAAGTAACGGACGACATCAGAACGGGAATGGATAAGCGGAAGCTAACAGTGGTAGTGCTTGTTGATTTTTCAAAGGCTTTTAAAATAGTCGACCACGATATAATTATAGCCTTCCTAACCAATCTTAAATTCTCGATACCAGCTTTGGAATGGTTTTCATCCTATCTTAGCGGCCGCCAGCAATCAGTACGATTAGGATAAGAGTTCTCAAGATGGGCTGACATTGAAACAAGCGTGCCGCAAGGCGCAATACTTTCGCCTTTAAAGTTTTCTTTATTCATAAATTCTTTCACTTCAGTTCTCAACTGTTCGTATCATCTGTATGCAGATGATATACAGCTATATGTGCAATCTAGTGTTAATGACCTTAACGATAATATTAATAAACTCAACCACAACCTCGATGTCATAAGAGATTGGTCTGATACAGACATAGTGTTTTCTTTAACCCATTCAATGCAGGATGTTAGCTTAGATTGATAACGATAATCTTGCTCCCGTAGTTTACAATTGAACTTTGCTACCATTTTGTAATTCTGTTAAAAATTTTAGCTTACATATAGACCATACCTTAAGCCTGGGAGTTCAAGTTGCCGAAACAAGCCGTAAAGTAACTGCCACCTTACGTTCTCTTTGTCGTCTCAAAAACTTTCTGCTTTTTAAAACTAGACTTCTGCTAATCCAGACTTTGGTATTACCCATTATTGATTATGCGGATGTGTGTTACCTAGATCTATCTCAATATCTTATCGTGTTGCCCTTTTCAACAATTGCATTAGGTTCATTTTCGGCTTACGTAAGTATGACCATGTTTCCCACTACTGATCTAAGCTCAAACGGCTCTCTATTCGTCAAAGACGTAGCTCCCGAACTTTGCAAGTACTATATTCAACTTTAAATGACCCAAATTCTACTTCTTATGTGAAGGATAACTTTCTTTACTCTCGATATAGTTACCCGTTCCCAAAATAGTCTTGAAAATCGTATTCCACCACATAGGAGTGGTTTCTTTAATTCCTCTTTTGCTGTGCAGTCCATACTACTCTGGGATGCCTTGCCTGTTGATATCAAGAAAACTACTAACAATAATTCTTTTAAAATACTAGTTTTAGAATTTTGTAAGAATAACACCACCTGACTTATCCGACTATTGTTTTTTTTTTCTCTTTCACTTTACAAGTGATATTTTGTATTTATTTTTGTCTCTTAACGTATAATATATTTTATTTACTTATAGATTTTGTACGGAAGTACCCGTTTATATATTTATTATTTATTCTATATTACATATTAGAAGATTAAAAAAATATATTAGAAGATATTAAGTAAGTATGTATATTTTAAGAACTTTATTCTATTTATTTGCATTTGATTTTGTGATGTATCCTTATTCTTATTTATTAAATGTATAAAGTAATTGTTTACACCTGCCAAAGTTTCTCAAAACTTCCAGGGTTGACTGGCGGAGAATGCTATAAGGCATTAAGTCCGCTTTTTATATCCCTCAGTATAAAGTGTATAATAAAGAATAAATAAATAAATAAAATTAATCATAATAAAATTTAGATTGGCATCAGCAAGTGCCAACAATGCAATTGAAAAAAATTTATAATTGAAAAAACGAAAACCGGATAGTGCTAAGCACTAAATTCGCACATACTTTCCGTCTAGGGCCATTATGCAATTTGGAAAATTTGTTGTTGAAAAAAGTTTCTGCAATGTCGAGCCACATTTCTTCGGTAGACTCAAGCATTTCAATTGGTTGTAATATCTTCCAAATTACTTACTACCATTCTTGAATTTATTAAAAATTTAGTTCGCGGGGTGCGAACGAAACAAAATTTAGGGAAAATGAGTTATCTATAAAAAAGTAACTGTTATAAGTATGATACATACAGTCGCAATTTGAAAACAGCCAGATTTTAAGAAGAAAAAGATAACGATATAAGGTCAGGTGGGGTAAGAGGGACACCGGGGGAAGAGGGACTAGGAACTATAACTAGTAAACCGAAGTGGCTATGAACCGTCGATAAAACACTGAAAGCCAAATAGTTTGAACGGTGTTCAATAGATATCGCTACGTGGCTCAGAAGCCTGAAGAAGATGTGGAAGAAATGCTTGCGAAAATTCTTCACGTAATGGAAAAATCGGGGTTTGGGTTAACGCGCTAGGAAGTGAGGGAAGGTTGGCCAATACGTGGTTGAGATCAATATCAAAACTCCGTTTAAAGATGGGATCCCTGGAGGGAACTGGTTTATTGCTTTTAAAAATAGACATGGCCTTTCTGTTAAAAAATCCAGGCCGTTAAACACGCACGTAAAACTGCATGCAGACCTGCCGTGCTCTACGGTTACTTTGATTTATCAGAGAAAACTATTAATGAACTGGGCTTACGTGATAAACCATCACATATTTGGAATCTCGAAAGAAACTAGCTTCAGTAAGGACCCGAATAAATCAAATGTTGTTGGTTATCAAGGCTATACATCTACAAGAACCATCGCCTCTCCAGAGAAAACTAATACAGCTGTGCTTTTAGCATGCAATGCCGCCGGTGACAAAGCTCCGCCGCTAATTATATACACAGGAAAAAATAACTGGAACGAATGGGTTTCTATAGATGGGTTTACTGGAATCGTTTATGCCGCAACTGAAAAAAGTTGGATGGAGGCGACAGTATTCGAACTTTTTTCGAAAAAGTTTTTTGCCAACCGTTGAAAATACACACGCTAGTCTCTTTTATTTATGATGGTCATTCTACTCATGTGAGAATTAATATTATACAAAAGGCACGAGAAAACAACATAACGATTTAAAAAATCCCACCTCATACGAGTCGTCTATTGCAGCCTCTGGTTCTAGCGGTAAATAAATCGTTCAAAGACAAATCGTTCAAAGACGTTGGTCAAATGACAAGTACTGAATGTCTTTGGCCAAGTGTGGACTCAGATTGATTCCCAAGTATGTAAGGCAGGCTACCGTAAGGCAGGGATATACCTAATAAATAAAAATGTTATAGTTGAAGAGAAGTTTGATCCAGTTCAGTTAACAGAATGGAAGAATGCGAAACAGCTAGAAAAATCTTAAAACTAGCTTGTAAAACAAATATCCCCCAAAAAGTTGAGTGAAATCGCACTGACTGTCGTAAATGAAATATATATAATACAACAGTAAGTTCCTCAGTGTAATTCAATAGAAGCGTCACCAAAGTACGTTTTATACAGCGAAGAAAAGCTGTTCCATTGCTAAATATTTAGAATGTTCAACAGCGTCCTAAAGTCCAAATTCTTTACAATCAGCGTGTATATACCAATTTCACATTTCAAAACCATCTTTGACAACTAAAAAAAACAAAAATAGCGACACGCGCAGAGCTCAACACTGATGATCATGTTTACGAAAGATATTAAAAAATGGAAGCAGAAAAAAAGTTGGAAAAGCAAGAAGAAAAGAAAGCAAGTAAAGAAAAAAGGAAACCAACGGAAAAAAAGCGAGTGCAAATAATAAAACAGGACCAGAAAAAAGAACGCAGAGGAAATGTGTAAGAACGGAGGAATACCTCCGCATTTATCCCTCTCCGCATTATAATAATAAGCAGACTGCTATACAGGTTTCTGGAGTGGATAAGTCATTATCAGGTCCATCAGGTATTAACAAAAAAGAAGAAAATGTGAGTCAAAAACAGTAAAAAATAAAAAGTGTTAAAAAATTCTAGAAAAAATAGATCAACGTAGAAAAATATTATCATCCTCATCTACCAGCATATCGGATTTCATGAGCGTGCTTGAGGATTCTGATATTATAGACGTGACCGATGAAGAATATGATATAACAAGAGATTTATACACCAACTTTGTACAAAATTATGAACCCTGTAATGAACAAAAGGATAAAATATTTAGCTTATATAAGAAAAGCAATGTGGTGAAGTAAGTTGGTGAAAATTTGGACAAGCAAGCAAGAGTTTTATTGAGGAATCAGGTGAAACTAATATGGTAGCAAGGGAATTTAACGGCGAACAGGATCGGCTGACAGAAGTGGAAAATGTACTACAAGAGAATTACAACGTCGTTATCAGCACGACTCCAATCGCCCTAGTCTGTCAGAAGCTATTTTGCCTGATGTTGGATCAAGTATCGATCTCAATATTCCTGAGCCGCCCCCTCTTCCACAACAAAACCTACACACTACTCATGTTAGATCAAATCCAACAATTAGGTCTTCTGTGTATAAGCGTGCGGCTAGCACATCCAATCACTGTATATTTGTTAATTGTTTTGAAACAGAACGTTTACTATTACCCTCATCTATAAAGGATCTGTTATTACTTAATAATAAATTCTACGTGCCACCAGCAGCACGTATCTGTCGTCACCATCTGGAGGCCGTTGGAGCGAATTACCTTCCCAGATTTTACTGGTAGTCAATTCGACTCAATTATGAGAATAATGCAGCGAGCTGCCTATTACTATATAGATTTCTCACATATTTTAATTATGCCTACATATTTGAGTCACTTTTGGTTAGGCATGAACTCCGATCAGTTTTATGATTTATTATACTGTATTCCAAGTATAGCAGGACAATTACCAAATGCCACAATTACTTGAATTTACTTAGTAAAGCTTAGAACTGGTGATAGTAATGAAAGGTTGGCAACTCTCTTTAATAAATCTCGTGTCACCTTAGAACACTTAATGAATAAGGCCAGAACATTTTTAATTAATGAGTTTGTTCCATTGTATTTAGGATTTAATCATATGAATGTTGAAGATGTTGCTTCTAGAAATAGAATAATACCAAAAGGATAATTTGGTAATCCTGATTTGCCACCTAATTCTAAACCAGCAACAGTCATATGTGATGCTACTTATGTATTTATCCAAAGCAGTTCTAATTACTTATTTTAAAAACAAACATACAGTTTGCAAAAACTTGATAATTTGGTCAAACCATTTATGATAGTGTGTTGTGATGGTCATATTGTGGATTGTCTCGGACCATACAAGGCGACAGCTAATGATGCTACAATTGCAAGTTTAAACTTACGTAATGAGAAAGCTTCTTTAAGATCATTTTTCCGAAAAAGTGACGTTTTCATACTTGATAGAGGATTTAGGGATGTAATTAATGAACTCCAGGGATATGGCTTTGTAACACATATACCAGAGTCTCTACTTGAGAATGAACATCAATTAACAACCCAGCAGGCAAATCAGTCTCCTTTTGTTACTATGTGCCGCTGGGTTGTAGAAGTGGTTAATTGTAGGGTGAAAAGGGATTTTAGACTCTTTCGTCATGTTTTAACAATAGAGCGGTTTTGCACCTAAAGGGTGACTTTAGAATCTCATGTGCCCTAATTAATAAGTTTCATGTTGTTATAGAAGACCCATCAGAAGCCATGGAATATGTAAGAATTGCTAAAGATAGGCTTTCACTAGAGAAAAATTTGGCAAATTATGTTGAACAGGCAAATCTCAATAGAAGGATTGTGAATTTTCAGTTGATTGACAGCAATAATAAATACATTTAGATGGATTTCCATGATTAACAATAACTGATTTAAAACAGTTAGCTCTTGGGACTTACCAACTCAAACAGGCTAGATCTTATTATGGGAAACATATCCGTCGGACTGGTATTTACTCAGTTGAGATGAATAATACTATCGATGATGATGTAACTTTGATTTTGGAGCTTAATAATTACCTCTTAAGAGGTAGGATTAAATCTGGAAATGTCAACAGTCGTACTTATCACACATATTTATTGATTGACGGTATAATGACGTAACCGCGCCGGGAACGGCTTTAGATGAATTTTTTTTCAGGAGTATGATGAATGATTAAAGTAAATATATTTCAAATAAATATTTTGGACTTTAAATCGCTATTAAAACACCCCAAATGGACTTTTTTGTTTTATTTTTTCTATCACTTACTAAGTGATAGAAAAAAAACAATCGATCGACAATCGATTCACAATAACATGACCTTGAGCAATAGTGTCTGTCACGAATAGTATCGTATCTTAGATTAAAGAATTAAAGACGCTCTAGATTCAATGAACTTTTTTTTTCGATCTGAGTGGTCACACCTATGATAATGTATTATTGATATTGGTGTGGTAGTGTGATCGCGGTGGCCTCCAATTATATACATATTACCTTTAGATACGTTACCCACTTACAGTATTGGCAATATGTATAAAGGTCGGGCAAATATTCGAGTTTCAGTCACGTATCCGATGGCGCGGCTATGTGTTGATATGACTCGTAATTCTTACTAATATTAATGGATTACCAACATTATTGGTTTTTAGAGCAATAATGTTTGTCCATGTTTAAAGTGTCAATTTAAAATAGGTCGTTGGTAGCATCGAAAAAGTGACGTAATAGTTTTTAGGTTATTTTCGATTTTACAAAATAACTCCAAAACCCCGGTTTTTTTTCAAAAAGGACTTTTGAAGGAGTTAATAGGATCAGTGTAGTCTATGAAAAACAAAGTTTGATTTTGATGCAACTTGGTACGAGATTCCATACATCTATGGGCATTCTCCTTTGGAAAAGAAAAACACTATATATTTCGAAAGAAAACTTAATTAAATTTAAATCACACCTGAAAAGCTTTTCGTTCATTCAAGTTTACGATTCCAGTGATGTCAATGAATCTTTTCAAAATTTCATAGACAATTTTATTACTAACGTATAAATTATGCTTTCCAAAAAAATATATAACAATTAGTAAAGTCTTCGAAAAATGTGTATTATCAAATATGGATGGCGGCGGGCAAATTGCCGTGGTCTACACGGATTTTGAAAAAGATTTCAATCGTGTGGACCACGTCATTCTTTTGAAAAAAGAATGACGTGGTCCACACTTCAGATATTGGGTATTCACGGGGATCTACTCAGGTGGATCGAATCTTACTTACAGAAAAAGTTACAAGCTGTGGTGGTGCGGGGATACAGATCGGACTTCATTGACATGCCAACAGGTATACCCCAAGGTTCCCATTTAGGACCTCTTTTTTATGACGCTTACGTCTACGACATCATCAACTGTTTTACCTTTAGACAACATTTAATGTACGCTGATGATAAAAAAAGTCAAGTTCAAAGTGAAGGGGACTGTTTTAAAATACAACTTGATTTAGACGCCTTATTAAATTATTACTTAAAGAACAATATAACAGTTAATATTAAAAAATGTGAGTGCATTACTTTCACGAGAAAACCCAACCCAATATTATACTGCTACAACTTTAATGGAATACCAATTCATAGAACATCGACTGTGAGAGATCTTGGCGTATACTTCGATAGTAAAATGCTTTTGTCTGACCATATTGACAAAATAGTGGACAAGGCTTTTAAAAATCTAGGATTTTTCATTAGGTCATGCAAACCTTTTAAAAATATAAGTACCTTGAATGCCTTAAATAATGCTTATGTCCGCAGTGTCGTTGAATAGGCCTGCCCGGTCTGGTCCCCCTAATACACCATTTACATAAATCGTCAGAGAATATTTAGCGCGTACAGAAAATATTTATCAAGCATCTTAATTATCGCGTACATAAACCAGCCTTACCAACCTATCACGAGAACTGTGACCGATTTAACCTATTTACCCTTGAAGATAGACGTAAACTAGTGGATGTACGAGTATGTCTACTGTACGACATAGTGCACGGACGCATTGATTGTCTCGAGCTTTACGACGTGCTTGCCGCGCCACGCACCGCCCGCCGCTCCAGTTAAGTGTGCCGCGCGCTGGTACTAATTACGCGCGTAATGCACCCCTCTCGCGTCTACCCAGCCTTAACAACGAATTCTTTGGAGAAATTGATATTTTTAACCACAGTAAGAACGCTTTTAGGCGCTTATCTATTGAAAGTCTTAAACTTAAAACCCAAAACAAAATTAAATAACATAATTTCTTCGATCAACAATACCAACTATATAACCTCTCGTCAGTCCAAAACCTTCTAAAGGTTGCTGTCAAAAAGTACGCATCTGTCCACAACCATCAGAAGGTTGCTGGTTACTTATAAACTTCAGATTCGAAACAGCCCTAGTAAAAGTATACGTAGCTCCCTATAACTCGTACAACATGCAGAGAATTAAACAAAGACGGCAATTAATATCACACACGCTTCATAAACCAACCATAGAAGCTGTGAAATAGTAATACATTTATTCCGTTCAGTTGCTCGTTCTGTGACGCGGTGTCGTGTGTTTACGTGCAAAGTATTAATTGTTGAAAGTGATTTCGGAAGTCAATATTAAAGATAAACATGAATGGGTAAGTCATAAATACTTTTCTATTAATATAAAATATATTAGATGACGATTTGTACATAAATTGTTCCATTTTATCAAACATTGCTTGCCATTTCGACTGCCATGTTGAAAACATGATCGTATTAACTTCAATTGTTTTAAATTAAAAGTACAATTGTGAATGGTAAACATTGTCTTAATATCGTTAACATACTTATTTACAAACATAACAATAATTACAATTGTATAGTTTCGATTAAATATTTCATAAAACTAAAAATAACAAATTGCTTAAATCTCTCGTCCACCTGGCGGTTGTGGACAGACATGGGTCGTAAAGTTATTCACATGAAATCCGCCATCTTAGAGAGCAGGTTGTATAGTATGGATACGACTTTGGGAATGCCAGTGTTGGTATATTTTTACGATAATTTTTGGTGTGGATTTTTATTTGTTTCGTTTTATTTTTTTGTCAATAAATTGTTTTACTTTTTGTATGTGCATGTCATTATATTTTTTGCACTTGATTGACAAGTGAAACACTCTTTGTTTTCACTCTTAGCACAAGATTATCTGGAAGAGATTGCTTTTTGTACGTAGTAGTTTTTATTGCTAAGCAATAATCCTTAGCTCGTTGCGGTGCTGTAGTTGG